GGGGGGGGTTAGGGAGAGGGCTCAGTGGATAGAGCACTTGCTGCACAAGTGTAAGGACCTAAGTTCGGATCCCCAGACTCCCCATAAAAAGTAAGGTGGGTGTTGTGGCTGCCTGTAATCCTAATGACTGGGAAGTGGAGGCAGGGGCTCCCTGGGCAGGCTGGCTAGCTAGATGAGCTGTATCAGTGAGCCCCGGGGTCAGTGGCAGACTATGCCTTAGTAAATAAAGTGAAGAGGGTGAGCCAGAAAGACAACTGGCACCAACCTCTGGCCTCCACATGCACACATGTGCTCGTACACATGCAAGCACATGCACATACACAGGCCAAAAGCGTCATCATAAAAAAGGGTGAGCAATAAAATGAAAAGATGCTGCTTAATAGTCACCCTGGAAGCAACTAAGGAGCATACACTCGCCTTCTCACACGGTGCAAGATCTTACTACTCCAGAGCAGAAGCGCTTGACAGCAGAAGCTGTTACTTTCATGGCTGCTCTTAAAAGTGATATTCATGTCAGCCGGTGGTGGCACACACCTTTACTCCAAGCACTCGGGAGGCAGAGGCAGGCGGATCTCAAGCTCCAGGACAGCCAGAGTTACACAGAGAAACTCTGTCTCAAAAACAAAACAAACAGACAAAAAGATATTCTACTGAGGTAGGGAAAATATATTGCTTAACACAAAGGTTTTTAAGAGACTTGGTAATGACAGCTGGATGTTTGGGGCTGATAAATAAGGTCATACACTGACACTTTCTTCAAAGCTGTTATCAACAAAATAGGACCAAAAAATAATAATAATAAATAAAAAATGGCAGGAGACATCACCAAGGAGTCCCAGCCTTGGGGACGGTGAAGCTGTGACTTAGACAAGCTTTGGGACTTCAAGGGAAAGAGGGGAAACATCCCTGGTAGAGGCTGCACCCACAGGTTGCCCCTAGACGAGTTCAAAGGTGCCTCTCCCTCTGGGTACCAGGTGTTGAAAGATAAAAATACACTTCTCCACTGAAGTGGGAATTCAGCATTCCACGGTAACTAATTCAGTCAGTAGTTTTCAAAATAAGGCCTAAGTGACCTGGGGTGACTGAGTTGTGGCTTTGTTGATTTTGTTACAGAGACCTGAAATGCTCAGAAAGAGCCACACCTGTGCTAAAGGTTCTACAAGGCTTGAGAGCTCCCTGATTGTGGAGAGTAGGAATGTTGCAGATCCAGAATCAAATTATCTTAGGCTATTATTATTAATTGCCCAGCTGTGTCTGACCTAATATCCCTGTGACTACCACGTGAAACCTTCTGCAATCTATTAACTAACAGACCATTAGCTTTCAACAGCTAAGGGTGTCATCAGACCACACCTGAGAGCTATTGCCCGATGCTCCTAACAATGTACTTGAGAAATGCCTTGATTTATGACTTCCTTTAGTTCTGTAACTATAAAGATCACAAAACTGTTAACCACATTGGAATGTGACATTTGGAGTACCCTAAACACATGTGTCCAGGTATGCTCATTCAATTCATATCTGGCTCCAGAATGAACTATCTCTTACTCCCTTTGAATTGAGAGCTGAGTGTGTGTGTGTGTGTGTGTGTGTGTGTGTGTGTGTGTGTGTGTGTGTACTCTCTTTATATTACAACAAAGCTGAGATCATAGTAACAGACACAGCACAGACACACACACACACAGAGAGGCATGCACGCACAAACAAGAAATAATAAAGAATATTGCCAAACTCAGCAGATTTCCACCAACTATCCCTGTAGATCCCATGGGATCCAGGAGTAACACTAGCAAGCCCCAGGCTTACTGTCTTACTTTCTGAGGGATGCACCTGTGATCTGGGGCTAACTGTTTACTCCAAGCAGCCAGTATCTAAAATGCTGTCTGTATTCTGAACAGGACTCAACGCTTCCCTCAATGAGAGCGCCACCAAGTGGCTGTGGCCTGCCCATGCACCGGAATAACATCCACAACCCCCCCAACTCCCTACCCCTGGCCCTCTACAAACCCTCTAGGGCCCCAGTCAGTGCCACACCCCGGCCATGTCTCCTCGGTCCCTAACCTTCCTCCAGCTCCTGTCCTTTCCAGCCTGGTGGCTCCTCTGAACACGCTCACTTCACTCTTCTTCCACATTTGTAACTTTAAACAAACGTTACTAAGATTTAAAAAAAAAAACTACTTTTTCTGTAGGCATGAGCACAGTGAGCTGGACAAACTTGATTATTTTTACTTCCTGATTTAGAGATCATAAATTCAGAATACAGACTTTAAAAAAAAAAAAAAAAATCTCCTTTCACTGTTACAACCCAGGCAGCTGGTAGGTGGCGCTAGTGCGCTCACAGTACTGTACTGATGGGGGCTGGTTATCTCCACGGACTGGTCTTTTGCATTCGATTTGAGAAGCTTGTGTGGGAAATGTGAAATAAAAGGTGTGGATATCAGTGTTTGCACACTTCCCCATTTGAATACACACTCCTCTGTATCCATTGGATCTACAACATGGATTCAACCACCTTCAGATTAAAAATATTTGAGAAAATAAAATTCCATCTGTGCTGAGCATGTACAGATTTTATACTGTACTCAGTATTGTAAGTAATCCAGAACAATTTAAAATACACAGAAGGGAGATTGGGAAGGCAGTCCAGCATTTAAGAGTACTGTTGCTGCTCACTCCAGCTCCAGGGGCTCTGATGCCCTCTGCTGGATTAAACAAGCAGTGAACTTATAGGGTATACACACACACACACACACACACACACACACTAAAAGTAATTTTTTTTCAAATACATAGGATTAATATACATACATACATACATACATACATACATATATATATATATGGCCATTTTATATATGAGGCTTGAGATACAAAAATGTTGGGGTCCTTAGAAGGTTCTAGAACAAAATGCTTCAGATACTGAGAGCCAAACCTTATGTGTGTGGGGGGGGGCGGGGGCGGGGACGGCATGCATTTTCCTTCACTCTCTTTAATTAAGAAGATCCTCTGGAAATATGATATAAAACAGAGTTCTGAACTTAACCTCAAAGTGCCTTTTTGAAACACTTCTCTGACTTTGGTGTCAGTCACAACTCCTTATAGACAAAAAATTTAACTGACTCAAAAGTCAATCAATCAACCTGCGGTTTACTCAGAGCCTCTCTAGACTAGATGTGAGCAATACTGCCCCTCTCCCCACTGTGAGAAAAGAAATGGTAGCCCCAGTTAGAATCACACTAATGTAGACATCACCTGTACCCACAACTTTTAACGTGGGAAACTCAGAGATGGAGGAGGTGTGCTCCAACAGCCAAGGTCCATCTAGATGACGGACACCTTCCCCTGGCAAACACGCTTCTGCCTGTACTGGGTGGGAGGAGATCTCATCCATCACTGTAGCTGATGTTGTTCCCACATGAGTGCCCGAGTTTCAGAAGGCGAAGCCTGGCTCCTCCCCAGCTTCTGCTGCCCACTCCCTGGACACTTGTGTACCAGCCATACAAGACTCAACACAGTGTGGCCAACTTCTCATTTGGAGACAAGATTTTATCTGCTGTAAATGTTTATTCTAGACCTAATAAAATGAAGTTTTGAGCTGGGGAACAGCTCAGCTGTTAGAGGCTAGGCTCACAACCAAAATAAAACAAAGTGTCCCACCCACCCTCAATTCCCTGACCTTACCCTTACCAAGGGAATACCCGGCGTTTCCTAGACTGCCAAAGTAGGTATGCTTTTAATTTTATCTGTCATGTATATAATTTATTGAAAGTAGCTACACTTTAAATATTAATGATTCATTAAAAAATAGTCATAGAGCTGGGGAGACCCTCAGTTGGTAATGTGCTTTTCGTGCAAATAAGAAGGTCAGAATTCAATCCCAGAAAATGACAGATGTGGTAATATAGACTAGATGTTGTAGTACAGGCCAGGTGTTGCAGTACAGGTAGGGGTGGTGATACAGGTAGATGTGGTGGTATACACTTGTAATCACAGCCCCAGGAAAGTGGAGACAAATGGATACCTGGAGCTTACTGGCCAATCTTATTGACAAGCTTCAGGCCAGTCTCTAGAAATAAGGTGAGGTACCTGAGTCAAGACAGCAAGGTTGTCTCCTGGTCTATACACACATGCATACACACATAAAACACACCTGTACATGAGCACACACATGTACTGGCATTCATAAAATGGAACATATTTTAAAGTAGTGATTATTGTAAGTAAAATAGTTTTTCCTGTTTTCTTCTGCCAACTAAACTTCAATTCATTTGACTTTATTCTTCAAGCTAAAGAATTAGACCCTAGATATCCCTATAACCCTTACTTATATGTATTCTTACAACAGTTGTTGCTGTTATTTTTCTATCAGATTTTTCTATGCGATTTTTCTCTACCAGATTTTAAAGTAAGAAACATTACAATGACATGTGGTCAGTTTTAATCACACATGGATTTTCTTCTACTGAGTATCACAAGAAAGGGAGGCACACCACAACAAGCCAAGGCAAAACCATTTCGTTTTCTTCTTAGAGAACTAAATGTTCAACCTACCTGCTTTTCTTCTCATTTAGGAAAAAAATAGAATGATAAACTACCCCAGCAGATTAAATATATAACTTCATGTTACACAAGAGAGGAAGATGTAGAAGAGAGAAAAGATGGCGGAGAAACAAGAGCGAGGAAGGAAGCAGGGAATCATGGGGAAGGGATGAATGGGGCAGAACAGAACCCAGGAACACAGAAAGGACAAGCCGCTGGTGCAGGAGATGAGGCGGTCAGAAACCTGAGCTGAGGTCACCTTCTGTCACCTTTTCCCCCTTAACCTATAGGTCTCACATGTGGTCACACTGTCCTTGGAGAGTGTATGCACTGTACTACACTTGGCCAACACTTTGTTCTAGAGGAAAACCCCCTTTGATCCTTTGGGCTGTGATGACAGTGGCCTGAGCAAAGTCACTAGGGGAAGCTGTCCTGGGTCCCAGGCTTCTGCAAGAGCTTACCTCCTCAACCATCTGCTTGACTTTCTTCTGCTGGCAATGCACCATGTCATCCAGGTGTCTGATCCGCTCTCGGAGGCTGGCTGATGCCTCCTCCAGCTGCTGGTACCTAAAGGGAAAAAGAGAGCTATGAGCCCCGACTCAGAACAGATACAGCAGCAGAGACTGTCACAGCACTGTAGAAGCATTGCAAAAACAAAACTCAAACTCAAGCCACACGCTCCTCTCCCGTGAACTCTAGGCATCAACTTAGAGTCAATATCAGCCCAGTAAGAGTACACATGTCCTTCAGGTCCCCTCCTTGAGTTTCACTCTGTATAGTGACAATTCTGTACTTCCCTAGGGGAGAATGAGTTTTTTCTCCACTGACAGGTGTGAGAGGATTTCTGCTTGGGGTTAACACAGCCTGGGACATGCAGTCAAGTGGCTTTAAATAGGGAACAGAGAAGGGGAGTCTAAGAAGCCAGTGAAGCCCCTGAAATCAAGGGTGGGTCTAGGAAAGCCTACAACCAACACTGTTGTGTCCATCGCTTACTGAACAAACAAGGCACAGCCGGAAAGCCCATCGCTGCATCACTGCCCACACCATGGAACATTTCTGAGCTGTTTTTAGAGACCTTATTCTGTCTTTGCCGGGCTCAAACCCACCAAAAAGAGCTGGCAGGAGACTGTGTTCTGTGTGTCATGAGAGCAGAACTGGAATAGGTGTTCAATGTCCCTGTCCCACTTCCCAGCAACGCCAGGTCCCTCGTTAGCACCAAAGTAGAAACCCCTACAACTTTGGAAACTCTCAAGTTACAGGCGAAGGGAGAATGAGATGCCTCAGCAGCTGCGGCTAAGCCTGATGATCTGAGTTTGATTCCCCCTATGACCCATAATGATGGAAAAGAAATAATTAATTCCTGAGAGTTGTCTTCTGGCCTCCACATGCATGCCATGAACCATCTGTAAAGCATATTTATTTATTTATAATAATAAATAAATAAACACAGTTGTTGTTTTTAATTGAGGAAAACAGATTTTTTCCCCCAGCACGTACTATGCAGCAGGCAGTAGGTCAAAGTGCTCTCACAATGTGAACCAAAGGGCTAGGTATCTATTCAACAATCTCACTTAGAAAAAGAGTTTCCATCCGACAGTTAGGGGTTGGGGGTGGGGGCAGGTAACTTGCCCAAGTTCTCTCATTGACCCAGCTTTGCTTTTCTTCCTCTCTGCCTTTCGATTTCCAGAAAAGACCATGGATGGTTCCTGTATTTTCCATCCAGAGTTTCACAAGTTCATGGCCAAAGGGCAATGGAAGGCTTGGAAACGAGCAACACTTCAAAATTAATTTCCAGGACAAATGGTATCAGTCCCAGCTGATGAGATATCTCATTAACAAGATGCATCCTGGAGAGCTCGGGTCACCAGCACACACAGACTGAGCATCTGCATTTGTGGCCATCTTTGATGTGTTCTTGGGCAGTGAGATGTGACTCTTATAGCTCCTGAAGGAGCTGGATCCACCCTGGGTGTTCTCAGGTACATAGGTCAGTACTGAGTGAGGACCATGTGAATGAAAATATAAGAGTCCAATGAGCTAGTCACAATAGGGCACATGGGGCTGGGGAGATGGCTCAGTGGGTAAGAGGACTTATTGGGCAAGCATGAAGACCTGAGTTCAAATCCCCAATACCCATGTAAAAAGTTGAGCGTAGCTGTGGAGTATGGTGTTGAAGGAGGGGAGACAGAAGGATGACTGGGGACTTGCTGGCTTCCAGCCTAGCTCCAGGTTCATCGAGAGACCCTAGATAATGGGAATAAGGTAGAAAGTGGTATGAGCTAGACACCAGCTTCCTCTGACCTCTGTGTGCATGAACACACACATGTGCATACAACACACACACACACATAAACCAATGTGTGTGTCCACCTGAGTTGCTACAAGCCCAAGGCCAGCTTGCCTCACCTGTCCTTATCAGAATCCGCAATCTCCCCTGACATTTCTGTTTCATGCTCAAGGAGCTGGAGCTGGAGTTGATGGCGTTCCTAAAACAGACATGATAAAATAGATCCTGATGGAGCCAGACAGAAGATGAACAGCAGACACACCCAGCTCAGGTTTGTCCCAGTGTGTGTCCACATCATTCCCTGGGTTTCACACATCCTCTAGCCCAGAACTCGAAATTCAAAGGGGCCCAATGCATGCAAATACTTATGGATTAAATAAAACACTCTAATCAAATCACATGAGCACCAGCCCAGGCTCACATGTCTCATAAATATTTATATTTCATTTATTCCTTCGTTCCTTCCTTCCTTTCTTTTGAGACAAGGTCTCTCTGTATAATTCTGGTTTGTCTGGAACTCACTCTGTAGACCAGGCTAGCCTTGAACCACCTGCCTCTGCCTCCTAAGTGCTGGGATTAAAGGTGTGTGCCACCACTGCCTAGCTTGAAAATTTATATTTCTAACCAATGATAATCCATGTCATAAATCAGTGGCCTGTGGCATTATAAAATTCCTGATTTCAAAATTACCTGCAAAGAGGTTCTGAAATTCTGGCCATTTCCTATGGATCAACCCAGTCATGTTTACACAGGGGTAGTCACTTTTAAAGGATATATTGCTGCCATTATGGCCAGAACAATGGTTCCCACACACACAAAGAAGTTAAGATCCGGTCCCATATAAACACACCATCTCACACAGAAAAGGGAACTTTGCGGCATGGTTAATGATCTGAAGAGTTCCATGGGTAGAGTTATTAGAGGAGGGAGTAGAGTCAAAGCCAGGGGGTGCTAGGAAGATATTACACGGCTGACTCTGATGCCAGGGTATGGGCCACAAGCTAAGTAGTACAGGTAGTACCCAGGGCAAGAAAATAGACTTTCTTTTAGAACTCCCCAAAACCTGCCAACATTTTTAATCTGGGACTTCCTACTTTCAGACAGAAAGACAGAAACTGACTTTTCAGCAATGTATTTCAGTAGCAATAAGAAACATAGGTGTGTCAAACTATATGCTTCACACACTTTGCTAAATGTATAAATATATATGTATAAATTTAAGTTTATCCAAAACAGTAAGAATTTTGGGGTTTTGTTTGTTTGTTTGTTTGTTTTGTTTTTTGAGACAGGGTTTCTCTGTATTGCTTTGGACCCTGTCCAGGAACTAGCTCTGTAAAGCAGGCTGGCTTTGAACTCACAGAGATCTGCCTGCCTCTGCCTCCTGAGCGCTGGGATTAAAGGTGTGTGCCACCAATGCCCGGCAAGAGTAAGAATTTTTACAAGTGCTTCTTTGAAAAGAAAAGTCAGGAAAATGTTAATAAAGGCACAGTGCTTGTCATCTCTGGAATGGTAGTAGACATACATTATAGATATTAATATAGCAAAATCCCTGAAAACACATTTGCCAAGCCCTGTTGGCTAAGGCAGGGGAGTGGGGTGGTGCTTTGAGAGCTCCTCTGAGAAGGGCTGTGTCTCACTTACACTCTGGGCAACTCTACCCAAAACACCTGTACCAGTTACATGGACTCCAAACCTGAATGGTGGGATTCTGTCTTCAGGGTGGGGGTGGGGACACGGGCATGAGTGGGAAAGGGTCCTGTACCCACCCTCATCAGAGGTGCGAAGGCCTGGGGGGCAAGCCATTAAGGAGAGGTCAAAGGCCCATCCTTAGATTTATCTGAAGCCTAGACCAACCGTGCCCCATCACCAGGTCAGGGGTTTCCCAGCCTGCAGAGAATGGCACTGGGCGCTAATGACATCACGTCCACGGTGGGCCCAGTGCTATCTGCAACTTCAGTGTAACTAGAGAGCTGTTTTCCAGAAACTAGAGCCAGCTTTGGCCTTCAACTCCAGAAGTCAGCCGTCAGCTGCTCAATGTCACCATGCTTTCTCTTCCTCTCCTCCCTTCCTGTCTTTTCTCTTCCACTTCCTGCCTCATTTCTGTACACCTGCCCAAGTCTGGCTTGCCAACTCTGGAAGCCCCCACCCCCCTTTGTTTACCACACACAGACATTTGCCTCCCCATCTCATTCAGGTCCCAGGCATGTCATGGAAAAGTCAACCTGTCCCAGACACCTGGCCCAGAGACGAGGGGTGGAGCGCCGAGGGAGCCTGCAGGCATATTGCCTCATCATTAAGTGGCAAGCATGTCTAGAGAACCCACAAAGCTAGTTGCTGCAATATTAATCTGCAGAAAGGATTTTAGAGGTGACATGTTTTTAAACATATCAAAACAATTTTGATTGGCTGGGCTGGGGGTTTGCCTAACACATGCACAAGGCTGTGGGTTCGACTGCCAGGACTACAAACAACAGAAACAGTTACCAGAGAGGAAGACAAGAACGTTGTTCGGCTTCCTTCTGTGTTACAGGATGTGTTGCATTGAAAACTAGGGGCTGGCAGGAGTCAGTACTGAGGTTCCTGACTCTAGGCAGGTCTTCAAGGGAACTGTGGGACTAGGAGGACTAGGCAGAGGTGGCAGCAGGGGACAGCAGGCCTAGGCTGCATCTGTTACCTTCTCCATTCGCTCAATCAGCCTGTCCAGCTCCCCGATCCTCTGGTCTTTCTCCTCCAGGCTGAGCTCAGCTGCCTCCATTTTTTTATTGGCCTCTTCGATGGCTTTCAGAAAGCTGTTGGTTTCTTCCTGCAATAGGCACACACTCTCCTCAGCAGGCCACCCAGGTGACTCACCTAAGTCCACACAGTGCCTCACTGGGTCACGATCTCCCTGTGAAAGCATGACCCTGGGGCCCATGTTTCTCACACAGAGTGAACTCAACTGCCATGAGTCTGGTTTCACCTCTGAACAAAGCACGTTGTGTAGATAGTCTTCTTTAACTTTAAGAGTTTATTTTCTTTTGTGGATGGGGGATCCCGGTGCCAGGGTACATGTGTGGAGGTCAGATGTGTGGAGATGAGAGGATAGCCTGCAAATGTCTGTTCTCTCCATCCACCATGTGGGCTTCGGGATGAGCTCAGCATCTTTACCTGCAGAGCAGCTTTACCTGCTGAGCATTTATGGGTCCCTTGTGTGGCTTTCTCCTAAAAGCCTAAAACACCTTATGTTCCAAAGGTGTGAAAAAAGAAGAAAACCAAAATAGCTTGTGAAGACCTAAATACCATTGCACAAATGCTCAGAGTGTCACTATGTGGGCCAACATTCAGCTGAGGCAGAATGAGGAAATTCCAGCTCTTCCTCCCACAATGCAATGCACAAACTTACTCTTAAGGAAACAAACCAAACATCTGGTGCATTGATTAAGCCTCCAATGACACAGAAAAACCAGACACAGACAGAATCCTTCAAAGAACATGGGCCCTCCTAGAGAGGTCAGGATGTGAGCCCACCTCTAGACACTAGACAGAGGCACAGCCCAATCCCACAGCCAGTGTGTGTGTGTGTGTGTGTGTGTGTGTGTGTGTGTGTGTGTGTGATGGCTTTCTGAGAACAAAAGTCACTTCTAGCTTCGAGAATGGCAAACCTCTGGATGGAAAGGGTGGCGTTTCCAAGGCTAGGGGCATGGTATAATCCAGGATGGGGACATGGGAGGTTTCAGAAAGTGGTACAGAGTAAACAGACAAGCCTGGGATCTACTTGGATGTGGGTGAATGGTCCTACTGGCTGGAGAAATATGTATTTTGACACAGAGACAATGATTTACTCAGCAGGAGGAAAATTCGAGTGAATGAACGATCAAATAAATCCCCTGGGCCTGGGAGCTAGCTCAGTGGGTGAAGAGTTTGCTGTGCAAGCATGAGGACCTGAGTTCACATCCCTAGCATGCAAGTAAAAGCTGGGCATGACAGTGCATGCCTATGACTCCAGCACTGTGAAGGCTAACCCAGGGCCACAGGGGTTGGGTATCCTGGAAAATTGCTGGCCAGCAGCCTAGACTAAATGACAAGCTCCAGGTTCAAGGAAAGATTCTGTTTCAAAATAAATAAAGAATAAAGAAGGTGGAGAATGGCAGAGGCACGCTATCAACATCAATCTCTCCCCTCTATAAGTGCACGCATGAGCAAGGACACCTGTCTACACAGTGACACATGTGAAATAGATGATGAATGAATGAATGACTCCCTTGATTCCTCTTCACATCCAGCCTCATGATGCCCTTTGAACCAAACCTTCCTATTAACCCTGCCAGCCACATCCCGTGTATTCTATTCTGAGCCGCACACACGCACCAGGAGTGCCTCCTTCTCTGCACTGTGCTTGCGTTGTGCCTCCTGCAGTTTCTCCTCATACTGACTGTACAGCTTCCTCGTCATCTCCCGCATCACCTCAGCGTTGGCTTCTTGAGAAGACTCCACCTGCAAAGAGACTCATTGCAGAACTGCAGACGGTACCTGGCCCCTCTAGCATATCTACACACCAAGGGCAGAGCATGACTCTCGGGGGTCTGATCTGCAGTAGACAGAAGAGGCACGCAGGAGGATGGGGGGGAGACAGAGAGAGAGAGAGAGAGAGAGAGAGAGAGAGAGAGAGAGAGAGAGAGCCAGCTCACAGAGCACACACCAGTAAAAGATGGCACTGGACACTAAGTTATTTAGGAGGACTGGGACAAGGTGTTTCAGAGAGCAAATCCTTCAGAAGGCCACTTCTTGGGGCTGGGGAGATGGGCTCAGTTGGTAAAATTTTCCCAGAATCCATGCAAAAAGAAAAAAGAAAGGAAGAAAAGGAAAAGGAAGGAAGGAAGGAAAGGAGGAAGGAAGGGAGGGAGGGAGGGAGGAAGGAAGGAAGAAGCAAACAAACAAAACAGCCAGGCACAGTGGCTCACACTTCTAACTCCCAGCACTGAGCAGACAGAGACAAGTAGACAATCCCTGGATCTCACTGACCAGTCAGCTATAAACAGCAAGTCCCAGGTCCCAGTGAGAGACTGTGTTTCAAAAGATAAGATGGACAGCTCCTGAGCAACTACATACTTGAGATTGACCTCTGACCTATATCCATACATGTACACATGTGCATCCATACACATGCACCCATGTGCACATGCATGCACAGCTTATTTTAAAGATAGCTTGTCCAATCAATCCCATCCATTGCACTGTCTCTAAGTCAGGCCTCATTAAGCCTTTCCCACATGTGTGCATTCCAAACTGTTGTCTTTGGAATCGTATTGACCTAGTGGGGACACTGGTCTGGGAGCCCTTAGTGGCCAGCCAGAGCAGTCCCAGTTTGACAGTCTTTGGAGCTGGCTGTGGCAGGGTTCCAGGAATGGTGTCTCCTTTCTGGTCTTAGGTGAGGACCTCATACAATTGACCCAGTGCTGCTGTGGGTGTGGCCTTGCCCCTCCTGTCAGGCCTCTGCTTGTCTGAGATGTCGAGCATGTGAGTACCTCGCCTCTGGGGAAGGGAGGTGCCCTTTGGCCTTAATAAGTTGCCTAGAGTTTATTTACTCCAAAGAAGTGACAAGTCCCTCTTGACACCCTTGAATGTTCATCTCTGGGTAAGTGTTGGTACCGAGAAGCCACAGGATGGAAATTCATGAGCAAAAGTTATCATTAGCTCAGAACGTGGGTCCACCCCACACTCCGTTTCTACTGCACAGGTGCGATGGAAAGGGCTCTGCCTGGGGCCTGTTCATGCTGCATTCCAGCTGCACCTTGAGTCCCTGCAGCCTCTTTCATTTTTAATTTGAAGGATAAAACAAAAGAGAGAGTGGAGAGAAACCTTTTGAGCTCCAGTGGTCAGAACCAGTCTCTAAAACAGCTACTGTAGGCTAGACACAAGGGATCTTGATTCCCAGGCTACCCTGCCATGCCTGGTGGCATACCACCCCAGAGCAAATGGGAACACACAGGAAAGACCCAAACAGTAAGAGCTCAATAAGTGTTTGTGGAGTGAACAGGTACATGAAGGTTTAATTCAGGAATTTCTGACTTCTTCCATTACAACCTTTTTTTAATTTTCAAAGTAACTCCTAGTGAGAAATAGAATGTATAAAACTGTAAAAAAAAAAAAAAAAAAAAAGAACCACTGACCTGGGGATGGAGAGATGGCTCAGTAGTTAAGAGCACTTTCTGATCTCCAGAGGACCTGAATTCCCTCCCCAATGCTCATATCAGGTGGCTCACAAATCACCTTGAACTCCAGCTCTAAGGGATCTGATGCCCTCTTCTGGCCTCTGTGAGCACTGCACTCAGGTGCACAAACCCACACTCAGATACATACATATACACACAATTAAAAATAATAAAAACAGAAAGAGTTGTCTTATTTGAAGGGAAAGCAAAGACAGTCTGAGGTATTCTGCCCAAGCCTGACCCCATTGTGGCTCTAACAGCAGGACCCCAGAGGGAAATGACAGACAGAGAGTCTGTAGTGCAGCTTGGCAGACACGGGGAAGGATACACTGCCCAACGGTTTTCTTAATTGAATCATTAGCAGCTCCACTCTTCACTAGCATTCTCTGGCTTAGGCAATAAAGTATGCATGGCCCACAGAATAGCTTAAGGCTGCACAGAACACAACTTGAAAACCACAGTTTTGGAAGGGGGTGAGGCTCCTGAGGCCACGCCCATTCTCGGGCATCTGTAGGCAGTTGATGGTGGCTGGGAGAGAGAGATTTTTTTTCAGTGGTGTAGCCATTGGTAAACTGCTCATGTCATGATCCCATAAATATTTTCTCACACATACTCCTTTAAGTAAGTCTGATTATACTCCCATATACAAAAAGACATACAAGCATAAACAGGACTAGCTGGGGGAAGGAGGCTGATAAATGAGAAGGGGTTAAGAGAGTAATGAGGGGGTGGATATGATCAAACTACAAAGACATGTATGAAAATGCCATAAGGAAGTGGTTATTATGTTATAGGTGCTTTTAAAAACTTAAAACCCCACAGGCCTCAGTGAAAACACTGGGAAGGCCCACTGAGGCTTTCAAAGTTTTAGAAGTTCAGCTTGGGCCTACACACAGCCCAGTGGTCAAGAGGCACAGATATTTGGTGTGGTGCTGGTGTGTGTGTGTGTGTGTGTGTGTGTGTGTGTGTGTGTGTGTGTGTAGGGCAGGGGAAATCCTTGAGACTTCAAAGAGCATTCACACCGTGAAAGGAGTGCCCTCCAAAGCCAGGAAACGTACCACTGGCCTTCCCAATAATATAACCACAATGTCACACAGGTTTCTAGGAAGCGGAAAGGCATGCCCCCAATATTTGTGCAGCACCTCAGCTCTAGGCAGGGAACTGTGAACAGATACCTCCTTGACTCCTGCAGACCATGCCAGTGGGTAGGAGAATGGGGGGAGGGAGATGGAGAATTGGAGAGGAGAGAGAGGTCAGCGGGAGCAAGGCCAATTGCTTTACCTTCATTTTCAGCAGCTGGTTTTCCATTTGGGCAGCCTCTAACTGCCTCTGTTTCTCCCGAAGCTTGTCCATGGATGCTTCATAGGTCTGCTGCAAATGTCTGATTTGATCCTTGATGTTGCTGTTTTCCAAAGTCACATCCACAAGGGTTTTCTATTTGGGTGAGAATTAAAAACCCAGGTCTAGTGGTGTGGGAACATATAGCAGCAGCATCCCATTCTGAGTCATGCTATAGCAGCTCCCCGCTGGAGACCAGGGATCCCCACAGCAGCTGAGGCCTGCCCTACTGTGGTTTGGTAGACCACAGCCTGCCGTACAACCCCCAACAACTGTGGACCATCAGACTTGCCACTGCCTCGGATGGGAAGATGGATTAAACGGGATCTTTCTCAGGGAAAATATTCATAATACTATCATTTCACATGGCTGGGGGAGCAGGTATAAAGTAGTAAGCACAGGCCAATCCCATTCATAAATCCAAACCCATGATAGCTTTCCCTACATAACAGAATTGAGATTTGTTTCTGTTTTGTTGTTGCCCTATCTTTTTCATATTTCCACAATGAAATAAAAACAAAGTATTTTATAAAACAGGGGTAAAGTTCACAGCTTTTCCTGACAAGTGCCAAGAGCCTGCTAAGGAGGCTGGGGATGTGGTTTGGATGGTGGAGGGCTTAGCTAGTGTGGTGGTTAGTCAGCCTGACACAGCCAGGTCATCTGTGGGCAAGCCTGTGGTGAATTTTTCTTGATCGGTAATTGATGTGAGGATATACAGCTCACTGTGGGCTGTGCTGCTCCTGGGTAGATGGTTCTGGGTTATATAAGGAAGCAGGCTGAGTCTTCTAGCCAGTAAGCAGCAGTGCTCTTCCATGGCCTCTACATCAATCAGCTCCTGCCCTGACTTCTTTTGGTGGTAAACAGTAATGTAGAAGTGTAAGCCGAATAAAACCTTTCCTCCCCAGGTTGCTTTTGGTCAGGATGTTTTATCAAGACAATAGAAAGCAAACTAGGAAACCCAGCATGCAAGCAGTCCAGGGGTCCACTCCCAGCACTGCATACATGACATGTGGTGGCTCAGTTCTGTAATCATAGCACTTAACAGGTAGAGTCAGGAAGATCAAATTCAAGGTCATCCTGGGCTACATAGTGAGTCTGAATCCACCTTGAGGTACAAGAAACCATGTCTCAGGAGGAAAAGTGCCGCTGGCTGTCTGATGTTCCAGGACACTTGTTGGGAAATTTAAGCTCTCTTCCTCCCCACCCAGCTATAGGACTCCTGTGCTCTCAAGGTTGATCAAACAAGGTTTTTCTCAGAACTTTCTGATGTGCAGTACCTGTGCCTTGACCCCAGGTGTGGGTGATGCATGATTTCCTCTTATGCTTAGCCCGTCCCCTGGCTTGGGTATATTACTCTCTGTAATAAAAGGCAGCAGCTTCCTCTTAATTTCTCATGGTGGTCTGTGAAGTGTTTCAATCCCAACACCCTCCGCACAGCATGGGCGTGGTAACTTGTGTGGGCAGAACTAATTAAATTAATAATGCTTTATGTTTGCTGCCTCTGCTTCTATCTAATTAGAGAGAAATAATTCCCATAATTCCTGAGCTCTGCACACTGGACACTGGGGTGTGGACATTATCTGCAACTTCGGGTTGCAACACCCAGAACCTGGTGCCAAGTGGTGTTGTGGAACAATCTTTTTGTACACTGTGAAGATGCATCTTTGCCAAGGTGCCTTCTGGTTAGTTTAATAAAAGAGCTGGCTGGCCAATAGCTAGGCATGTAGAGGTTAGGCAGGATGTGTGTGTGTTGGGGGGGTGCAGGGAAGAAAGGCAGTCACCCACCAGATGCAGAGGAAGCAGGAGATGAACATGCCATGATGAAAAAAGGTAGCACCACAGGGTAGAATGCAGATAAGAAATAAGGGTTCATTTAAGTTGTAAAAGCTAGTTAGTAACAAGCTTAAGCTATCGGCTGAGCATTTATAATTAGTAAGTCTGTGTGGTTATCTGGGAGCTAGCTGTGAGACAGAGCTGACTAGACAGAGAAAGTCCATCTACAAAATGGCATGTCTATCTCCTCTGTCTTTGATGAATGACTGGTCTCCTCACTGGACAACATGACCCCTCCTCACTGGACAACAATATATCTAAGCCCACTTGAATCACTTCAGAAACTGTCACTGGAGGTGAAAAGTTACCAAAGGAAACATGGAAGCCACCGTAAGATTCCAGGAGCTGCAGAAGACGTCTAGCCTAATGTCCAAGTCCTTCTGGGAGAAAATGGATGCACAAATACTTAGTGGTGACCAGGAGACCAGATGTGTCTGATCCTGTCACTGCCACTAGCTAGACACTTCATGTCATGGGTCTCTGCTGGCCTCAGTTTATCCCCACAAGTCAGGATTTAGAGCCCAACTAGCTCTGCCTTTCTAAGGAAAGAAGCCAAGAGTCTGGTCTCTGTCAATAATGACAAACATGAGTAGAAGGGACACATGGAAGAGTCTGGGAGCTTGCACAAGTAAGAAGCCAATGAATGGCCTTCAGATATGACCAAAGGTATCATCTTCTAGTTGCATGGGTCTGTTGGCAGTCCAGGATTCAGAGACTACAGATCCTTGGGTTAAGGATAACCCTAATCTAATAAGTGACCTATGAGGTAAAATGCCTAGATTGTCAACTAAATATCACATGAGAAGAATTTGCCTAAAAACACACTGTTTTTTTCTGGGAAGAAAAACCCAGAGACATAGTGCAGACACAAGCAGGTCTACACTTAGGTTCGGCAAAGCCCTCTCTGGTAGGCTGGGCAGTGAAATGGTTTCCAAGAGGGAAGGAAAGAGGGTGTTGGCAGTCCCCCTTCCAAGATAGGAGGAAGGGAACAAAGGGCTCCCGAATGAGCCAGGGTCTCGGCCTGAGGCCAAGGAGAAGCTGGCATACACAAAAGGGAGCCAGGAAAAGCCTGGGACTGCAGCCCAACCAGAAATGGGCATCCCAGACAGACCCAAACAGAGCCCCGCCCCACCCACTGCTGGAAGCTGGCCGAGCTTTGTTGCCTCTAGGCTTGGTCAACTATGGCTGGTGAATACTAATTTCTATGGGAAATGGAGGAGCCCAGTACGCTCATCCACAAAACTATTTACACAGGGCCAGAAAGGATTAGAAATGAGTGGGCAGAATGCTTAGGAAGACATTAAAAGATAAGCCAGGTAAACTCGGAGGATGGCAGAACTGATTGTGAAGTTGGAAAGTAAGACCAAGGGCTTGCTCTGAACATCTTCAAATGAACTTGCACGCTAGGCAGGAAATCTCTCAACTGGAAGAGTACACACTGAAAGCTCTGTAATTGCTCAGAGCCAATCTCTGGTAGTAGGTCTTAATTAAGAATGTCTGTCTATTGAGAAAGTCTTCGTTCTCTAGACATAACTCTCTCTACATAAAATCATCCCTAAATCTAAAAGTGTTTCCTGGGAGAGCTACTTCCCACCACAGGTTGCATTGTGTCTTTGGGTAAATGTGTCTTTTTCTGTCACCAAGTGGAACTTCCTGAAGCACTGGAGCTAGAAGAAGCTGCTGTGTTGTGTAAACACAGGGGACCACTTAGGTACCTAGAAAGCAGGAGATGTTTCCATTCCAGAGCTGAATCTGAAACCCATTGACACAGGTGCCTGTTGGAAGCGTTTCCTCCGACTTCCTCCCCACCTTTCAGAAACTGCATTTGCCAAGCCTGTGGTTAAAGGACCATGGGACATTCTGTACTTTTCTGCAAATAGGCCTCTATAAAGCTGCCCTATAAAGAGAAGGTTCCCAGCTAAGGGCAAGCAGAGATACCTGCAGGCCAACAGAGTCAGACGCCAACGCCGAGTTCATGGCATTGAAGCTGTCCAGGGCTGACGACTGTGCTTGGATGTGACTATCTAGGTAGTCCTGCTGAGCTTGAGAAACCTGGAGAGAGGAAGACAGTCACTCAAGACCAACCCATACCCCACAGACTCTAGGGAGGGGGAAATTTTCTGAGAGCAGGCACATCTGCTTCAGTAATGTTTACAGTAAAACTATAGATTAAAAATCAACATCTGGGGCCAGAGAGCTAGCTTAGTAAAGAGCTGGCCAGGAAAGAGAGATCATACTTTTTTAAACTATTTCAAGTGATGCTAAAAATAATTAATTCATCCCCATGTCCTTTTGCAACTAGGGCAGCTTATCTGCAGAACAAATCCTTAGGAATGAAATGTGAGGGCTGGGACTGTGACTTGGACGGTAGAGCATGTACAAGGCCTTGGCTTGAGCCTCGTCACCCTATAAGCCAGGCATGGTGGTGCACACCTTATAATCCCTTCACTGGGGAGGTAGAAACAGAATGAGGAGTTCAACTTCATGCAAGGTTGAGCCTACTCTGGACTGCAGAAGACTTCATCTTTCAAAAAAAAAGTAAACATCTTTTCAGTAGGCCATTAACTATAACCGATCTGGGTAGGGGCTGAGCAGGGAAGAGTGTGTATTCTGTAATGCATCTAAAAGGAAGATTATTAGACACTCTCCCTTGGATAATAAAGTTCAATCTGTGACTCAAAAAAAAAAAGTCCTCTCATTTAAAATATGACTCTACTCATAAGAAACGTGAGCTACTTAAACAGCTCCAGGCCACTGGACACAAGTCCCAAGCCCTGCTATCCTCTCACAGCCACAGGGCATGGACTTACCGACAGGTGGACTTACCGACAGGTCCTGGGTGAGCTGGCGTATCTTCTGCCTCATCTCATCGTAGTCTCCATACATTCGCATCCTCACTTTCTCCAACGTGGCCCTCACCTGCAGCCACAAGAATGTTAGTGAGACATCAAGTTACAATAGTTTCATGAAAACTACTGGAAACTTTATTAACAAGAGGAAGACCCACCAAAAATTCTTAAGAATAAAACATGTAGCAAATTAAGCGACAAGACCACTTTCAACATCTAGTTAGAAACAATGGAAATGATCCAAACAATGCTGTGTATTATCACTGAGGATAAGGACTAATAAACATTAAGTTAACCCAAGTAATAAACCGAGGAACAACTGCTTTGTTAAAACTCACCCTTCACCCCCGAAACACCGTTTGAACAAAGTTTACCCCTTCCAATCACATGTTTTTACAAGCAGGAAGTTTTTAACTAATCGACTATAAACACACAGCTACGAGGATGGAAACACTGCAAAGCGAGCAGCAACCTCTAATTTTCTCTCTCTCTCTGTTCCAAATGCCAAAAAGCAATTAAATGTCTAGAATGCAAGGTGGAAAAATGTGAGGCCTGAAGGGGCCATAAATTCAAATGTCAGTTTCTCAGTAATTACCAACAGAGTACACACTGGGTGTAACAAAGAGGGAAGTGGGCCCCCAACTCCTCACTCATACAAACACTGTGTAAGTCTGGACTGGGGTGACTATCAGAAGAGTATTAAGTGGGAAGCTAATACACAAGCCTGTTTCCCCATCTTCTGGTGTCTTTAGATGCTTGGTAAAGTTCTCGAGAGTCCCCCAACAGATCAAGAAGTCTGGAGGTGGCTCCCTCTGGGCAAACTCCAGGCTGTCTAGCTTACAAATGAATGGAAGCAGTTTGGTTTGAGTACAAATATTTAAGAACAGCGATGGGAGACTTGATACTGAAGGTATATTTGTGTAAGAAACACCTTGTTTTGCTTTGGAGCTTTTGTTTTCTCTTTCTTGTAGTAGGGATTTGAGCATGGCCTTGAGCATGCTAGGCAAGAATGCTAACACTGAGATACATTTTGTTTTAGAATGGATATTAGTGGAGAGTTAGGAGAGAGGAGGCAAGACCTTGAGCATTCCCCAGATGAGGTGTTTTTTGTTTTTTTTTGTTTTTTTTTTTTTTAAGTGTGTGTTTGTGTGTGTTTGCAGATGCCAGGGGAAGCCAGAAGAAGGTGTAGGTCCCTTAGAACTGGAGTTACAGATACTTATGAGCTGCCTGACATGGGTAGGTGCTGGGAATCAAACTTGGGTCCTCAGTATTAAGAACTCTTAACCCCTAAGCCAGCTCTCCAGAGTTCTGATCGTCCTACCCACATGAGTTCTGATCGTCCACTTTCTTCCCAGTGACCACAAACAGCTGGGAAATGAGTCTCAAAGCATGGCCCTTCATTCTAGGGAGTAAATTACTCCATCACCCCAGGAGGTTCTTGTGCTATCTGTCACCAGAGGTGAATGGACAGACTCTTTGAGATGGGTGTTGCTCCCACTGAAGAGTGTAGGAAGCCAACAAGGCCAGGGTGTCTCCTATCAGGGAGCAAGGACAACAAACTCATAAACACACTGAGGAATGAGCAGGCTGGGATGGATCTGACACCAGCCATTGAAGGTGGACCTAGAAATTAACTTTGTATTGCAGGTCATAGTGGAGGGTGGGAATTTTGGGTCAGAACCAGTTCTGTGATTTCAGTGCATGTCAGCTGAGGATTAGCCTGGACCTGTTGTATCTGTCTTGAGCAATTTTGGAGTCTCAGTTCTAAAACCTCTACAGCAACCCCAACCAATATGGAGCATGTAAATGAAGACAAGTCTAAATAGTTCCTTGAGAAAGTCTGCATTGTAAAAAAAAAAAAAAAAAAAAAAATCTGGGGGCTGGAGAGATGTTTCATCAGTTAAGAGCACTGACTGCAATTCCCAACACCCACATCATAGCTCATACCCGTTTGTAACTCCTGTTCCAGGGCTTCTGACATCCTCCATAGACATAAATGCAGGCAAAACACCAATGCACATAAAATAAAAATGTATCAGTCTGGGATCCAACATTCTGCATGAGTAAAAATACTACCTTTGGAAAGTCAGATAACTGGGTATTTAAGAAAGGTGGTTGTAAAACACTGTGTGTATGTATGTATATATATATATGTGTGTGTGTGTGTGTGTGTGTGTGTGTGTGTGTACTCATGTACATATGTGCATGTGAATATGTATGTGTGGTATATGTACCTGTTCTTGTGGGTGATGCATGTTTGTGTGTGTGTGTGTGTGTGTGTGTGTGTGTGTACATGTATGGAGGTCAGAAGTTAACATTAGGTCTCTTCCTTGATCACTCACCACCTTATTTTTTGAGGTAGGGACTCTGACTGAACTTGGAGCTCATTTATTCAGCTACAATGGCTGGCCAGTGACCTCCAAGGGTCACCCTGTGTCTACCCCACCAGTGCTAGAGTTACAGATGCCAGCAACCACACAGCTTCTACATGGATGCTGGGATCTGAACTCTTGGGTCCTCCTGCTTATGCAGGAGGCACTTTATGGACTGCACCATCTCCCGGTTCATAACAACAACAAAAAAACCTCATACTATAGCTAAGGCATTGTGGCTTTGCACATCATCTGTCCCAAGTCAAATGAGGTTCATAAAGCTAGAGGCTTTGAACTCAGGGATGAGAGCCCACCTATAGATGAATAAACTGAGAGCTAGAGAGGACACACTAAGAGGAATCCAGGCCTGATACAAAAGCAGAAGCAATGAGCTCACAGGCCTGGGGGACTTCTCCAGCCTGTTACCAACATTGGCTTCCTCTGGCACTGAGCTGGAGTCCATATACATCATTTCTTCTTCCATCTAACTAGTCTGGTTTGAGCTTAGCAGCATCAGTCAGACTAGTGTGGATAGAGGGGACACTGGGTATCACAAAAAGAGAAGACAGGCAGCCATCAAAGTATTTGAAGAAAATGATCCAAGATGTTAATCACAGAAGAGATTGAATGGTGAAAGATGGTCGATTGTTTTCTTCTTTGTATAGTCCTCCCAAACTAGCTCAGCTTAATAGATATGAAGTAATATATGAAATACAAAGAAATTGCATTAATTCACGTAGACTGTACCTTGTGTATTGTAGCTGACTTCCCAAAATTCATTTCAAGCCAAATCATTGAGTGAACCTGCCAAGTCTGCCTATGCTCCCTGTCAATGATTGGGGTGGGGTGGGGTATGTAACCATCCCTGGCCAAGATGCCATGTAAGGGGAAGCCTAACAGGGTCAGGACAACTTCAAAACCTTTCCAGAAGCGGGTACCCTATTTTCTTTCTCCAAACACTGTCATATGTATAGAAGAGACAACCTTGAGGATGAAGAAAAAAAGAAGTCCAAAGAAATCAGAAAGCCAGACCCACAGCCCAGCTGTGCCCTGCTCCAGACTCATCTCCAGGGAAAACACATTTCTTTCTGAGTTGGTGGTTCTCTTATGAATAGCCAGCAACACCCACATTTATACAGTTGCCCAAACACATACATTAAGTGTCTGGTATCCTATGCAAAACCACCCAAGAGCTTCCACACCACACCCAGCAGCACCCTGGGTCATGACCATCTGCTGGTAAGTAATAGCCACCCAAGAGAAGCTTGCTGAAGAATTATACCTGTCCCTTTAGTATCACTACAAAGAAATGGAGAAACATTTCCATCCCAAGTACGACTTTCAAAATGCCTACTTAACATTCCCATCCACGATTTTGACCCCACCCTCCTAGCTGCATCAAAGAACAGAAAGACAAAACATCCCTGAGTGGCTCACATCTTTGATGTAGTTCATCTCTTCTTTCAGCTGATTGGTGGACCAGCCATACACAACCATTTCCTTCTGCTGGTTGGGATCCGATCTTCGCACCACACCATAGACAACACCCTGAGGAAGCTTCCTGGTAGGTTCTCCATTGCTTAGTTCTGGAGGCTAGGAGAAAGCAGGAAATAAGAAAAAAGAGTATAAGTCTCATGAGCACAGCAATCATTATGGACACCCATGTATGCTTAAGCAGGCTGTAACTGGCCCTGGGGGTACCTGGGCAGCAGAAGAAGCAAGTGGGCAGAAGGTCAGTTTGGCATCTGCTGATCACACTGTTCCTGGCATGGGCTGGGGCTGCCTGCACCCAGTAGAAAGCATTGACTACCCAATTCTTTTTTTCTTTGTTTTTGCTTTGTTTTATTGTTTTTCAAGACAGGGTTTTCTGTGTAGCTTTGTAGACCAGGCTAGCCTTGAACTCACAGAGATCTGCCTGCCTATGCCTCCTGAGTGCTGGGACTAAAGGTGTGTGCCACCTCCGCTGGCCAACTGCCCACTCCTATCAAGTCCTGGTCCACTGTCCTCATTAGTTAAAAAAAAAAAAAAAAAAAAAAAAAAAAAAAAAACCTTCATACCCCATTTTCCCAAGGGGACGTCCATTTCTAATTCTCACCAAGATGCCAGAGGAATTATGTCATGAAACCCTACACTGAGGTGACACTGATTTCTGTCTTATACCAGTTCCTCCGATGACTTTAACCACCTCATGGCCTGAAACTGGGAAGTTGATGTTGATTGTCATCTGGTATCGAAACTGTTCTATGGGGGCAGGGCGGATCCTGCAGCCAAGCTCTGAAGGAAAGAGGCCGGGATGACACACAACCTGTCGTGTCCATTTTTTAAATATTTCTGGAAAGCCAAGCAGAGGTGGTGTGACTCCAGCCCCAAAGCATCTCCTCACTCTGCTTAGCTGGTCTTTAACCCTGCAGTTAAATCTTGAATCACCAAAATGCTGCAATCAAAGGGACCACGTCCAAATCTAACACAGCTTTGTAGGATGAAGGCTTCAGGAAGCAGGAAGAGGGGGAAAAAAAAAAGTGTTTCCTGACCACCAAGAAAATTCCTTCAAATGTTTAGTGTTCACAGCTACTCACCAACACAGAATGTTTTCCTGACTATTTCACAGCTGAGGGCATTGAAGTTCAAAGGGGCTAAACAGCTTGTGTGTGACCGCACGTTCACATTTAAGCCAGTCCTGTGAGTGTTAAGACAGCCCCTTCCTCATACTGAGGGTTTGTTAGATGTGGGAGACGAGTAGGGACCTCCTCAAACACGAAGAGGACAAAGACAAGGAAGAGGAAGAAAAACTGGGGGCAGAGACAGAGAAAAGGGACAAGGGCTGGTGCAATGGCTCAACCAATGAAGTTCTTGCCACCAAGCTCAAGGACCCGGAGTTTGATCCTCTACACGGTGGAAGGAAAGAACTAACCGCCAAAGCAAGTTGTTTTCTGACCTCCACATGGGCACTGTAGTTCACTAACTGGCATGCAGGCATCAGCGTGCGCCCATGCACGCACATGTGTGTGCAAACACACACATACATACATACATACACACACACACACACACACACACACACACACACACTGTGGCCGACACAAAGAATTTAAAAAGGTAACAAAGAATGCAGAACTGTGAGATCAGGCAACTCCCCTTTTCTTTCTTTTTTGTTTTGGGGACAGGGTCTCACTACATAGCTTTGGCTGGACTGGAACTCGCTATGTAGATCAGGATGAAATTCACAGAGATCCACCAGCCTCTGCCTCCCAAGTGCTGGGATTAAAGGTGTGCGCCACCACAAGGGACTCTATACCAACTTTTTCAATTACCTTTTTGTAGACTTTCCCCAGGTTTTCAGAAAACTTTTTAAAATACAAATCTGTGATTTGCATTTTAAATTATTTATTGTCACAAAACAATGACTACTGAGACCATTCAAAGTTTGTAAAATAGAAAATAAAACCCAGAAAGATTAATGACAAATTGTTAATCACGTCTGAGGAACAATGAAACACGTTAGAGATGCTGGAGAACAAAAGGGAGACTTCCTTTCTTTTTTTCTTCGTTGTCTGCATTACTTGTGAGTACTTTGACCACAAGGACTTTTAAAGAAGGGAGGAAACTCACTCAATGCTTTTTACTATTCTGTACAAACTTGGGAAGTATGTAATGTGAGGATCCTCAACACCTAGTGTTTGTTTGCCTTCTGGTAACAGCTCAAATATGTGTCCCAGGCACCCAGGTCCCACGGATGCTGCTGCTATCCTTGAAATTTGTCACTTTCAAGGTCTGGGTTGCTAAATGGTCTGTGGTGGAGTGACACGCTGGCAGTCAAATTTTTGCTAGGCTCGTAATTAGGAAAAGGAAAAGCTCCAATGAAACTCCCCACAGACCAGGAAACACAAGCTGTTCTTCCAACCCTGGACCCCACCCAGTTCCTGAAAAACAGGCTACTGATGACAAAGGGCTCTGAGGAGACACATAGCACAGCAGGGTGCCCAGAGTACTGGTGGCCAGATAGAGAATCCCACCACCTGGGAGATGAAGACAGTGTCAGGACAGGGTCCAGCGCTGAAGAGTCTGAGACAGGGGGACTGCCCCAAGTTTGAGACTAATTGAGGTTTGGGCTACAGAGTGAGCCACTGTCTCAACAAAGAGAAGGATTTGCACATATTAAAGCATACCTATGCCAAGCGGTGGTGGCACACACCTTTAATCCCAGCACTCAGGAGGAGGCAGAGGCAGGTAGACCTCTGTAAGTTCAAGGCCAGCCTGGTCTACAGAGCAAGTTCTAGGACAGTCAAGACTATGCAGAGAAACCCTGTTTCAAAAAGCAAAAACAAAAAAATAAAAAAGAAATAAAAGAAAAGAAAGAAAATTTCTAAAATGATACAATCCGAACCTTTGGTGACAATCTCCTCAGTGGGAACAGAATGTCATCTTTTCCTCTGTGCCCTTTTGTACAATGCCCTGTTGTTGTTGCTGCTGAATCATTTTTATGTAAACTTTTTTAAAAAAAGATTTACTTTGGGGGTGGACAAAGTCCCACCCCTAGCTGGAGCTATTGGCATCTGATAACTGCTAAGAGAGGTCCGTTTTCTTTAAGGGTGTGATCCCTGGTAGATTGACCACACTCCAGGGGACAGCCCCACACCAAAGAATATGTGGACAGCACAAACTGGGCTGAACCTTTTTTTTAAAGTTACGGAGGACATGAAGTTCTGTGGATAATGAAGTGAGGGTGGGTAGGGAAGGAGTTGGGGAAAGGGTGAATAAGATACAAATACGTTGTATGAAATTCTCAAAAAAAAAAAAAAGTTAGTACAGTTAGCTTTAAAGATCTACTTTTAGTTATCTATATATCTGTGTATCTGTGTAGGGGTACATGTACATGTGAGCACAGGTGTTCACAGAGCCCAAAAGAGGTGTCAGAACCCCTGGGGCTAGAACTGTAGGCAGTTGTGAACCACCCAATGTGGATGCTGGGAACTGAACTCAGGCCCTCTGCAAGAGCAGAGCACATTCTTAACCGTTAAGCCATCCCAGGCCCCCTTTATTTCTGTAGTGAGATATCTACCCCGCCTGCACCTGTTGCACTGGCCACGCCCATTGGGGTGGGGACAGGTGTGGAGGACATGACAGGGAACTAGGTCTGGGGTGGAGGACACCAGCTCTCTCTCTTGCTTCCTAGTCAGAGACAGAGAGCATCCGGAGGCATCCTTGGGGCAGGAACCTGCTGGAGGTCATCTGTCTCTGTTATAAGTAATTTCTCCCTGAATAAACAGCCATCAGCCTATCTCTTTTCCCAGATTCTTATTTACCAGTGATATATTTCAATTTTCCAAAGGAAACTAAAAGTAAAAATCATTAAAATGCCATCTAAATAAAAGACTTCCAGCAAAGGGAGTGGACAGTGGTCACCGGGCCCTGCTGAGAAGTGGGGCTAGTGGCATGGTGTTCCTTAGGGAAGACACTGGACTGTGCAGGGAAAGTCTGGAAGGGCATGCACGAAGAAAGAGAAGGAGGGAAATGTTTGCTACACAGTGATTTCTACTACACCAAAGAAATCTTTATTCCCTCTAGTCCTCACAGACCTACTGTGTAAATGTTATTGGTTCATCCGGGGTGAACACTTCAGGTTCCTGTCTCTGTCTTTCCAAATGTGAACTCCTCCAACCGCGCCACCTCCGAGCCAGGGAAGGAAAGCAGGGAATTGGACCTCACCTGGCTATGTGGCATTCCAGAGTTTAAAGGGGAAGGGAAACCAGGGGTGCAGCCCTCAACTGCAAGAACTATTTGGAAGAGGAAGGCCAGAGACGGGGGGTCCTCTCCACTTGCCCACCTCACCTCCGTCCACCATGATGCCCCCCTCACCCCATTTTTCTACCAATTCCTTTTTTCCTCATGCCATTCACAAGGTTCTTCCCTCTGCCACGCCGCTAGGCTGAGATGTCTCTTCAGCCAGGGTGGCTTCCTTAACCCTTCACAGGTTAGGCTCCTCATGCCCATTCTTCCCATGACCATGGTTATGCCTGAGTGACTGTGGATGTCCTCAGGATCAAAGGCCTGCTCCCAGGCAGCCACCAGTCCTAAGACATGTAGGCTTCATCTGTCTTTTCCACACTAACTGCAGCAGCCAGCAGAGATGGGCATACTGTGATTCTTCTCAGCAAATATTTACTGAATGGACAGGAGCTTTAGAAACTGGAAGAGGCTCTCAAGAAGCACTTCGAACATGCACATTCAGTCCAGCTAAAGGAAACACCCTTTGTCCCTCTTAGAGCAAGGGACAGACAGCCTCGGCCACAAAATGAAACTCTGTGAAGTCCCAAGACACCATGTTTAGAAAATACCAACATGCTTGAGGTCAAACGCTAGAGAACACAGAAAAAAAGTAAGAGCTAATGTGTTTGCAAATGTTTAAAGGTCATTTCTTTCCTCCTCTTAAACTATCCCTAAATGAATATTACTTTTAGGCATGATGAAAATTATTGTGTTATTACTAAAAGGTAGCGTTTACCTTTGAGAGAAGCATACCGGAATATTTATGACATATTTGTTTATTAATGCAGGTAAAGGAAGTGAACAGGATATAGACGAGGCAGGATCGG